AGCTGATCATCTGTCTCTCAAGATGCATTAAAGCTTACTGCAGAAGGATCCGAGTGTCCTATGTCGTTCTTGCTGGCGAGACGATCACGCGGGACACCCTGTCTTGAAAAAACAAAAAATAAATAAACATGTATGTTAATGTGTATTTGTGCATCTTTTTCTCTTATAATTATGAAGGCTGTAAGTTCAAAGACACAATGTTGGTGGGTTGGTTCCTTCTAAGATTTATGAGCTAAGTCTCCTTGATATTTACAGAGATGTCTTCTCTTATCTTCACATCTTCTTTATGTAGGTGTCTGTGCAAACATCCCATTCACAGGACACCAGCCTTACTGGATTCAATTCCACCCCACTTAATTACATTATCAAAGATCCTTTCTCTACATGCAAGGAAGTTCTGAGTTGTGGGGATTTAGAACTTCAACATACAAATAGGTATCAGAAGGTAAAATACAACTTATAACAAGCCACAAAACATAAATACTTAGAGCATATTTTCATATATGATACACACTAAATACTCCAAATAAGTTCAATAATAAAATTATTGAGCTGTGGACCAAACCCATGCTATAAATTTTATCTTGCTGCTATCCCATAGTATTGTAAATCTCTGATTATATATCTTATTCCTCTTTAAAATCACCATTTTCAAATCCTAGGAATTCAAATTTTAAATTACTGAATGTACAACCATAAAATCAAAAGAAATGTGAATAATGTATTTTATCTGAATTTTGAAACTTCTTAAAATTGTCTTTTAAGTAAAATATTGAAGAGATATGGAGCACAAAAATATTAAATTTTATACACTCATTTTGGCATCTGGAATATTTAGTAATTGGATATAAGATTCAATGGGCTTGGGCATCTCTGCCCTATCACCTTTTGTAACCCATATAGCCTGTCTTGTGTGACAGACTGTGCTTGCTTCCTGCAATTTTCCTCAGCAGATTTTCTTCATTTCTCCCATTTCTGTTTTGAAACTTCCCACTGTGTCTCCAGGTTCACTCTCCTACACATGGACTTTTCTTAGAAAGCTTGATGGAAGCTTCCATGACCTGTAACTCCTGTGCTCTGAATTCCTAAAAAGAAAATGGATGTCATCATCTGCTCAACAGTGACAGAATGTCCTTCAACTACAGCTATAGAGGCATCTAAGTGCCTGGGTGGCTGAACAAACATGAAATAAATCACAAAGAAACAATTTCCTAGGTGTTTGTGTGTGAGCAGCCTCCTGGAGACCATCATCTTCTCAAGAAAATGTGTTTTAAGTGAAATTATGAATTTGTGCATTCAGCTGGACATGGCTGATGTTTTGCTCATTGCTAAAATGCCCCCAAGACATTGTGGCTGCTGTTCCAGTGAAAAAAGTTTAGGTTCTTTTAATGGCTGTATTAGTTACTTTTCTATTGCTGCGATACAATGCGATGGCCAAGGCAACTTGTAAAAGGAAAGTTTTATTTGGGCCTAAAAGTTCCACAGGGAGCACACTACCATGGTAAGGAGCACAATAGTAGGCAGGCAGGCATGTCACTGATGGATCGGCTCAGAGCTCACATCCTGATACATGAACAATCAGAGAGCACACTAGGGATAAAGAGAGACTTCTAAATTGTTAAGCTTACCCTGAGTGACCTACCACCTCCAACAAAAGCCACACCTCCTAATCTTTCCCAAATAGCCACAACAGGGAGCCATGGATTCAGATGCGTGAGATTTATGTGGGAAATCTCATTCAAACCACTAGAACTACAAGCTCTTCAGAAAACTTGGCTTCTCCAGTCTTTACTATACATTTGCTTTCCTGACCAAATTAGAGTATTTCAAATCTTCAGAATCTGCTTTTTACTCTTGCTTCTTATTTCAAATCTGAAAAAAAAAAAACAATCCAGAAATGGCCAAGCAACAAACTGAATGCTTGACCATCTGAAATTCCAACCACCAGATTAATTAGTCCATTACATTTAAACTTACTCTCCCACAGTCTCAAAACCTGGATTAAATATAGTCATATTGGTTTGTTTTGATAAAATGTAACACAAATATCCTCCAATCCAATTCCCAATAATTCATTGCAGCTGGAACACAGTGAACCCAATCTTTTAAACCTACCTATTTTAAACAATTTGTTCTTCTGAGTTCTATTCTCTTAATTCTTTTCATGGTACCTCAACATTTTTCTAGCATGCTTCTCTATACCTTGCCACATTCATCCCACAAACTAGTTCTGAATCACATGGTCAGGAACTCACAGCAATGCTTCCTATTTCTTGCTATTAATTATGTGTATTAGTCTGGTTTCATGTTGTTTTGACAAATTGAAACAATTTAAAGGAGTAAAGACTTATTTAACTATTTTGGTGGATAATTTTAAAGGTTATGGTCCATGGTCACTTTGCCTATATTTGTAGACTTAAAGGGAGGCAGAGTATCATAAGAAAGAGGGCAGAGAGGTGTTTCATCATTCACCTAATCATTGTCAAGAACCAAAGAGAGAATTAGACTTCCTTTATTTACCTCTTTTCCCCATCAGTGCCCAAAGGATGTTGTATAAGACAATCAATATCCAGGATGTGTCTTCTTAGCTTACATGACCATTTCTAATAATACAGATAAACTAAGAGATATACTTTAGTAATCTGTATATTTCCCAAACTAGCCAAGGAGATGTCAAAACTAAACATGAAATACCCCTTTTCCAAAGCAAAATGTTCAAGTAGTTTAATAAGGTATGTAAGATGTCATTGGTTTTTGTTTTGTTTGTTTGTTGTGTTTTTAACCACTGAGTAGTACTCGTTAAATGTACCACATTTTCTTTATCAGTTCTTCAGTTGATGGGCATCTATGTTGTTTCCAGGTTCTGGCTACTAAATATAATGCTGCCTTGAACATAGTTGAACAGATGTCTGTGTGGTATGAGTGTGCATCCTTTGGGTATATGGCCAAGAATGGTATTGCAGGGTCTTTAGGTATATTGATCCCCAATTTGCTGAGAATCCACCATATTGATTTCCAAAGTGGCAGCACAAGTTTGCCCTCCCACCAGCAGTGGAGGAGTGTTCCCCTTATTCTATATCCTCTCCAACATAATCTTTCATTAATGTTTTTTATCTTAGCAGTTTTGACAGTGTAAGATGGTATCTCAGAGTTGTTTGGATTTGCATTTCCTTGATGATATTGAGCAATTCCTTAAACATCTTTTGGCCATTTGAGATTCCTCTGTTGAGAATTCTCTATTTAGATCTATCCCCCTTTTAAAACTAGATTATTTGGTGTTTTTTATGCCTAGTTTCTTGAGTTCTTTATATATTTTGGAGATCAACCCTCTGTCAGATGTGGGGTTGGTGAAGATGTTTTCCCATTCTGTAGGCTTCCATTTTGTCTTATTGACTGTCTCCTTTGCCTTATAGAAGTTTCTCCATTTCAGGAGGTCCCACTTACTAATAGTTGATATCAGTGTTTGTGCTACTGGTGTTATATTCAGGAAGTAGCCTCCTGTGCCAATGTGTTCAAGGGTACTTCCCACCTCTCTTCTAAGAGGTTCAGTGTAGCTAGACTTATGTTGAGGTCTTTGATCTATTTGGACTTAAGTTTTGTGCATGGGGATAGATATGGATCTATCTGTAATCTTCTACATGTCAGCATCCAGTTATAATGGCACCATTTATTGAAGATGCTTTCTTTTTCCATTGCATGATTTTTTACTTCTTTGCCAAAAATCAGGTGTTCATAGGTGTTTGTATTAATATCAGGGTCTTTTATTTGATCCCATTTGTCCACATGTCCATTTTTATGCCAATACCAAGCTGTTTTCAGTACTGTAGAACTATGGTAGAGCTTGAAGTCAGGGATGCTGTTGCCTCTGGAAGTTCCTTTATTATACAGGATATTTGTGGCTATCCTGGGTTTTTTGTTTTTATTATAAAGTTGAGTATTGTTCTTTCAAGGTCTGTGAAGAATTGTGCTGGCATTTTGATGGGGATTACATTGAATCTGTAGGTTGCTTTCAGTAAGATTGCCATTTTTACTGTGTTGATCCTACCTATCCAAGAGCATGGGATATCTTTCCATTTTCTGGTATCTTCCTAATTTCTTTCTTTAAAGAATCAAAGTTCTTGTCATATATGTCTTCCACTTCTTTGGTTAGACAATGAAATCTTGAAATTTGCAGGCAAATGGATAGAACTAGAAGAAACTAACCTCAGTGAGTAACCTAGACACAGAAAGGCAAACACAATATTAATCATACATAAGTGGATATTAGACATAAAGCAAAGGATATACAGGCTACAGTCCACAAACCCAGAGAAGCCAGCAAACAAGAAGGACCTTAAGCGAACCATACATGGACAACCACCCCCCAGGGTAGGGGAAATAGACAAGATTTCCTGAGAAAATTTGGAGTGTGGGGAGAGAGGTAGGATGGTAGGAGAGTGGGTAGCAGAGAAGGGGAGGGATCAGGAAGGTCGAAATGGGGAAATAAGGACTGTGAGGGAGAACAAGGAACCTTGATAGAGGGAGCCATTGTGGGGTTAATGAGAAACCTGGCACTAAGGAAATTCCCAGGAATCCACAAGCCTGGCCCCATTAAAGAATCTAAGCAATTACAGAGAGGGTACCCTTCCATATAATCAAATTGATGCCTTAATATTAATATAACCTTAATTGTTATCATAGAACCTTCATCCAGTAACTGATGGAAGCAGTTGCAGAGATCCACAGCTAAGGACTAGACTTAATTCTTGGCGTCCATTTACAGAGAGATTTGAGTGAAAATATGAGCAAACAAGTCAAGACTATGTTGGGGAAACTCACAGAAACAGCTGGTCTCAGAAAGATGGAGCTCAATGATTCCAGATTGATAGATGGATAACCTGCTTTAAAGACCAAACTAGGCCCTCTGAATGTGGAAAGCAGAGTGCTTGGGCATTTTATGTGACTACTGGCAGTGAAACCAGTATTTATCCCTGGAGTATGAAGTAGGTTTGTGGAGCCCATTCCCTACTGAGGAATACCTTGATTAGCCTAGATGGGGGAGATGGTCCTGCCCCAAATGATGAGACAGACTGATGATTCCCCATAGGAGGCCTCCCCTTCTCTGATGAGTAAATGGGGGTGGGGTGGGATAAGGGTTGGAGGAGAGGAGGAAGAGGGAACTGGGAATGGTATGTAAAATAAGATTGTTTTCAAAAATCTAAAAATAAATATAAAACAGAAAAAATAAAGTATATAAGAACTGTTCTATCTTGTCACAGATAGCCCTTCCATATTTATTTCTACCTCTCTTTATTCATTACCTGAAAATACGGTGATGTTTTCAAGCTTTAACTATACATAATGTTAATATTTGATTAGACAAGACTCTGATTAAACTCCCCTCTCTTGTTCTAACCTTTAGGATGTTGCCATGTTAACTAATATATTTCTTCTACCATATCACCTAGAACTGTATATGATGGATTTTCTGTTTTATGGGCTATGTATCATTCTAGACAAGAATCTTTTGAATGTCCAAGGCTATGATTTGGGAGTATACTATGGTTAGAACTTTATAATGTGGTAGGTCAATAAATATTGCTGAATAAATGAACTATTTGAGTTTTGCTACAGCAGGGAGAGACGGAAACACAATTGCAGCTATTGCGATCTTAGAGATTCATCAATTAAAAGCCAGGAGTATTCACATTCTGTTTGTTACAATTTAGAAAATGTGTTAGGTCATATTTACTAGATTCCAAGTTTACTGATCATAATATTCATGTCCTCTTGGTCTTTGTAATTTATGAATTCTTCATGTTCAGAAAAGCTCCTGTTGTATAGAAAGTCAATGCTTTTTTAATAAATAATAATTAAGATTGCAAGTCTTTTTTAACTTGTTTTTTTCTTTTTATTGGAAAGAAAATTATTTTACATGTTAATCCCAGGTTCCTCTCCCTCCCCAGGGTGGTGAGGCCTTCCATAGGGTGTCTTCAAAGTCTGTCATATTCTTTGGGATAGGGCCTCGGCCAACCCCCTGTGTCTAGGCTCAGGGAGTATCCCTCTATGTGGGGCACTCCCAAAGTCCATTCCTATGCTAGGGATAAGTACTGATTCACTACAAGAGGCCCCATAGATTTCAGACGTGACCCATTATAAAGCAGAGGAGGGGCTGGCTCATGATCTCTTGGGAAGGGCAGAGACAAAATTTTCTGAAGCAGGAAGACCACAGCAGTTATTTACTCTTATCTGTGTAAGTGCTTCCCTAATAAATACCTATTTATCATTTAAAAACAATTAAGATTGCTTCTTTGAAATTGAAGCGCTTTAAGAGAAGTTTTATTGTAAACTTTACCAACCAACAATTTAGTCATGTGATATGCAGAACAGAACAGCTAAAGTAAACATCAAAATAATAAACACTGCCACTCTCACAACTGGGTTCACATGAGCCTATCATGACAAGCCTCACACTAAGCAGCTCGTCTCCTTAGTAGCAGCCACTGCTCTACCCAAAATCAATTGATATCAATGTATTGGGCACCAGAACTATAAAATAAATGTATAAAATGCTATGTGTATGTTATTCTAATTTACATAGTATATTATGTATACTTGGGGTATATTATATTTAAAATGGTAGTAATCATCAGGTGAACAAAAGCAAGGAAGAATATCTTAGCCATTCAGGCACATACTTTATACATTGTGAACTTAACATTCTCATGAGATCATGAAGAAAGCCAGTAGATAGAAGCCATGGTAGAAAAGAGACTGAGGCTATTAGTACGCTAGACCTCAGTAGTAACCAAGAAGCAGGCTATGTTGTCAGTATTCTAAACATGTACGAGAAGCTATAATGTGTAGTGTAAATGAAATCTAAAGGTTGTGTGGATCATGAACTCATAAGAATTGCTTCAAGAGTCACCATTATGTGAGTAAGCAAACTGCATCTTCAATAAATAGGTAGTGAAAGACTCCACATAGCAAAGTCTTGATGTGTGGCCAAGCCCTGAGACTCTGGATGTGTGTTGTGACTCCTCATCTAATTAGCATTTATAAAATGTTTGCAGCTGTGAATACAATAGACTAAAATAACTAGACTAGAAATGGTGCTTAGCACAAGACTGAGAAAGTAATTAACTTTCCAAATGCATATCTTTCTCTCAGGTTTCAGATTTTAAGATGGATTATAGTACATACAAAGATCATAGTCTCCTTCTACACAACATGAACATAAACTACCTGATGGAGAATATGTTTCCATTGTTACCTGTAAGTGGAATAAAAAGTTAAAAATTAACAGGTAACCCATAATTTATTCTTGAGAAGGCCCATCAAGGAAACAAAGTTTTATCCTACTACTTTAAAAAATAGTG